TAGTTACTAACTAATAAAAGTATTCCTCAAGTTATCGCGCCGGCAAGATTTCTACTGTTTTAGCAAAATGGTGACCTTGACCTTTCACCTGTCGGCCCCAAAATCAATAGGCTTTTTCAATGGACTACCAAGAATTCAATACAGTGAGATAAAACATTTTGTGAATAATGCATAGGTGTTCAGCAAATATTATAAATACAATATATTTAAAAACTATTATAACTACATGTACAGTTTTTAAACTGTACATGTAGTTATAATAGTTATAACATGTAGTTATGTAGTTATAATTTTTCGTGTTCATTGAATCAACTTTAAAGTAAAGCATTTAAAAATGCTTTACTTTAAAGTTGATTCAATGAACACGAAAAATTTGGATCTATCTAAAAAAATATTGTTGTTACTATATCCACTGATTACGGGGGGGGGGGGCAAAACCCTGCGAAAACCCTATTGGGAGAAAACACGGGGAAATTCCCATCCGGCTCCTTCTTATCTTCTTATTATTATGGCAACCAAGTTTGTCTCCATGTATCGGCATATACATGAACATATACATGTAATTTTGCATTACAGCTTATACATGGCTTGCCTTGCCTTGCCTTGCCTTGCCTTGCCTTGCCTTGCCTTGCCTTGCCTTGCCTTGCCTTGCCTTGCCTTGCCTTGCCTTGCCTTGCCTTGCCTTGCCTTGCCTTGCCTTGCCTTGCCTTGCCTTGCACGCATTAAAAATTGTACGTCTATTTGGTCAAGCTTTTGTTGTTCATACTTGCTAATACGAAGCATACGGCGATTTGGTTTGACGACACAGAGAATGAAGCAGCACACATAGACACGGCAGCCACGAATCCTCCACTAATGGATAGTTGCCGAGGGGCAAATGCCTTCAACAAAGCACCGGCAAGTGGTCCTGAAAGACGTAACAAAATGCGGTTATATCAAGCCGCACAAAAAAAAAATTGTCTGAAAGTTTGATAATAAAAAAATGGTGGCTAGAATAAAAAATGGAGACAGGCGACCCGACCCTTTTCTTATTTTTGACTCACCAACTAAGATGTAACCAGCGTCGACCAATAAGGTACTGATCACCCCTACAGCCACTGAACTGGCCGAAAGGTAAGTCATAAAGTAAGGCAAGAATACCCCGAGTGCCTTGAAACCTCCCAAAGCGATGAAGCTGAAAACAAAACGCGACACTAGGACCATCCATCGCAAGGGGTGGGGTCGGCTTGAAGTAGTCATGCTGGGTTCGGCGTTAATAAAAAAAGAGAAGACAACAATGCTAAGTGAACAGTATCACACTTAATGAGTTAACTGACATAGAACTGATGCCTGTATCTAAACCGGGTCAAACACTCTGCCGCATGCGTAATAAGCTTTCCTTGCCGATTTCAGATGGTGCTACAGTCCTCTACAAAATGGCGCCCAGACTCTCGCATCAAATGTGAAAAAATAAGCTGGAATTGCACCAAAAAAAGCAGAGTTTTCCCGCTTTGAAATCCCCTTTCAACAAAAGCTTTAAAGGTAGAGTATATCATTTGCAGCTATTCAAACAATATCTGACGAAATTATTGTTGAAATGCTAACTTGGTTTAATGATAGTAATGGTACAAAAATGCCTGTGAAATTACACTTTCTGGCAAGTTGTCATTTTGAAGAAAACAAACAATAGGGTAATTTCCAAAGATGCCCTTAAAGACACATTTTTTTGGAAATTAACGTTAGTAGTTCGTTAATTCGGCGAAACTGTGAATGGGCGCGCGCAAGCGTTGACGCGACGCAACGCGACAGGTGGGCGATTGCTATAATTTGTCTGTTCAGTGCGTGACAACGCGTAGTTACAATCGGCTACATGAGAACGTGTCCCGGATGCTGATTTCGGGCGCAATTCATAACGTGACCCAGCAACTTTTGAATTGAAATCGAGACCCTATAGATCTATTTTTTGTGGAATATACATTCACAGACAGGCCATCGGGTTAGCTGTTTAGAACCCTCCTATAAATTTCGAGCACTTTGGTTGTTTCAAACGAAAACTATGCACAATGCAGACATCGATATATTTACCTTTAATGTTCTTCGGCTGTACCAGCTGTTGACCAGTAGTCGCTTAGTTGCACCTTTGTTATAACAAGTTAAATCGTTTCATGCAGTAGTCTGACGCATAAAGTCGGAAAACTAATGGCACCATCTACAAATAACTATATATAGGCGTTGAAATGGCATCCTGCGAATTCTGCAATGAGTGGAACGGCAGAATTAGGCCCTCCCCTTCGTTGAAACAATACCACGGGTCATAATGACATCATCAGTGTACACTTCAACGGTGATATAATTACAAGGGGCCTTATTTGTTATGCCTGAGAAACCGTTTCATTGCTTTACCATCAGCTTGACCCACACGTGCGTGACGGATATCTCATTCCACACGTAAGCGGAAACCAAGCCATCTGTTGAACAGTTAAGCCCCTGTCACACCTTTGCGTATCTGAATTCCTTATGAGTTCCTTATCAAAAAATTTCAATACGCAGCCGTACGCTCAATTAACGTCGAAATGTTTTGATCACTTTGACTTATGTGCGACGCACATCTAGCGTAAAAGTAACGAATTCAGCGCATCCATTGCGTATGAGATAGGTATGAGTAACGTATGCAGTGCGCAAGTTCGCCATCTGTGCGTTTCTCATAAGTTACGAATAAGTACAATGCGCTGCCCGCTCGCAGGACGAGCGGTACTAATTCGTGCAATACGTCGCTATGTATACGTCCAATATAGGAGGTCAGCGTATTGCCGCGTATGAACGGCTTATCCCTCCCGAACACATAGCGTACTCGTACCGCGCTCGACCGATGCGGGACCGATGCGCTGCGTATTTATAACATGACCTGCGTAACAGCGTACGCAGCGTAGTTTTGTGCATGCCCAAAACTATCCAGCGTACTGGGCCGTACCATGCGTATATCTGCTTACATAAAACCTACACAAAACGATAGAGATGCATATGAGGTGCGTATTGTGCGTACGACTGCGTATGAAAAAAATGTCAATGCGCAAGTCATAAGGAATTAGGATACGCAGAAGTGTGACAGGGCCCTTAGGAGAATTGAGCACTAAAACATGTAGCAAAAATAATTCATCTCTCGATAAACGTCAACTAGTAATCATGGTCAATTCACATAACGGAACATTCCTTACAGTTGTAAAACTTCACGCATATTATTTGAATATCGCACACATATTTCTGAAACATTGAATTTTGAAACGTTTGACACTACATAGCGGTTGTTCAGGCATGCGCCTAACAAGCCCCCACCTATGCGCTCAGTCCAAACTATAGTTGGGACTTCCCAAGTATTGAGGTTAATTCTTGTCGCTTCGTGAAAACACGGATCCTTCACATAAGGACTAACGACTCAGACAAACTCCAGATTAGACGCGTGCTAACGGCCCGTGCAGGTGGCAATTTTCATGAATACTTGTCAACAAAGACCCAAACAGCTAAGCCGCTTCACTGCACGCGGTGGAGATCAAATTTACAAGTATCAAATTCTGTCAAGCCAGCTAATTATATTTTTGAATATTCTTGATCCTACGTTTTTGGCTTTAATTACTGAATTCTGATAAGTGATAACTACATAACCATGTTAACGCTGAGTACAATATATTTGTAAGCACATGAACTATGAAATGTCGCATTTGTTTATCGGTTCAGGACCACATCTCTCCAAAACGTATCAATACTTGCCTAATTAAAACGAGATTTGGGTAAAAGGTGTTCTCCTCAAAAAGTTTGTCACAGTTGACGTGTATTTCCCGGGTATAGACTTCATCTATGACGACAAAAAAGCTGGACAATACCATCAATTATATCCTGATAATATCAATTATATCCAATTATAACGTTTTATTCATATTTCAATTTTAGATGTAATGCAAAAAAAAAACCGACAAAATGGTATACCTGGAAAATTCGTGATTAACATGTGAATGGGTATTTAGGCTTCTCAAGACTACCAAGAACACCTCACAAACCAAATTTCAAGTTTCTACCTAAAGTTTTTCTCAAGATATCGTGCTGACAAGAGTTAGTTAACCTAACCAAAACATAACACACACACACACGCACCCGGACAAGGCGGAAACAGTATGCCCCTTCAGCTTCGCCACGGGGAATAACAAAAACACTGACTGATAATTATTAGCCTACGTCCACACAGTCTTAAAAAAAATCATTTCCTTTCCAATTTGTTCATAATAATATGAAATGTGATACTGCATTATTGTATCGATAAGATTGTAACATTTTAATTTTGAAAACAAATCGTGTTTTCGTGACTCACGCCATGCTCATACCGCGACGAATTGATTATATTTGTACCCCAGACACCACATACAAAAACCAACGCTGATGTAAAGAACTGGATTGCACCAGACTATTCCTCATTTTCATACGTGTTCAAAAGTTTTGCCCATGCAAATAATCCAATACCAGAATGAGAGGGCAGGTAGTGGTGGGTGCGTACTGCTCGACCACCTGGGAACGAGGTTGCCACAGATTGACATTGTATACCTCTTTACCGTAAACATAAGCAGACGAACAACTCAATTACGAAAACTGTTTTGTACTGTTATTTTCACTAAATACTTGCATGTTGTCTTACAGATATTTCAGAACTTTATAGCACATTTCGAATACGTTGCTTGTAGTGACAGTTGAATGGAATCCACGCTTATATATGTTTAGAGTCTTGCAGAATATATAATATTGTAGGCCTCGTAGATTTCTTCTAAACTTGGAGAGCCACCAGAAAGCCTGTTGTAAAATGTATTTAATTACAAAAAAAGAGAGGCTTGGCTAAATACCAGCTTTCGGGATTATGCATGAGGATCATTCCTAATTTGCTCCGGAGCAGTGAACCATTAACCGCATCGATGTTACTAAGGTTGCCATGGTTGCTGCAATAACTCCTAACGACACGAACACCCATTGGTACTCTCCGGTCAGATCATGAATCCATCCTGTTGAAAAGGGGAAACAAATCTGAAAATAAAAACTCGGCAGAATATCAGTCGTAACAGTTGCTAACCCGTGTTTAACTAAAGAAATTCATGGTTTCGTATATGCAAACGGTTAAGTTAACAACCATTTAAAGGTACTTCATGGTCAAAATGTGTCAATAGGACAACTTTGGAAGAATACCTTTGACGCAGGCCTACTTTCAAACTTGCAAAAGAAGGAAAACGTAGTTTGTTGCATTGTGCATGTTGTATTTATAAGGCTATAAACTTCAAGTCTACAGCAAACAAAACACAGCTCGCGATACGTCAAACAATAAGACGATTCCCGTGGTAGAAAGGGGGTATAAACTGTTCAGAAAAGTGCCTTTTTGATGAGCTTGACGACCAGTTAAAGATCCAATCACTGCCAAGCACGGCACGAGGGGATACAAAAGTTTAAAGACACCGGAATTGTCTAATCGTCTGACGTATCGCGAGGTTCTTTTTTTGGCTGTAGACTTGAAGTTTATAGCCTTATACATGCATTACAAATACAACAATTTAAAAAAGGAAAACTGAGCATAATATCAGTCGTTATAGTTGACGAGTTGGCTTCGTATATTCTGATATGCAAACAATTTATGTTAATATATATTAAAAGGAATACTTTGGAAAAATGTCTTAGACATCGGGCTAGTTCCGATATTCCAACAAGGAAATATATGTTGTTGTAGTTTGAAGTCCTAGGTCGACCTATTTCTCTTAACAGTACAGCGAAACCATGGATATCTTCAGTATTGCTCAACAATTTATGTCTTGATTTGATTGCTCACGCGGCAATATTTTTGGTCGGTAATTAACAGTACATTCACTTACTTATCAACATAATGGCCTGACTGATTTTTGTCTCGCTTAACCTTACTTTTGATTGTTTATGACACTATATCTAATGTTAAAAATGATGAATTTGTGATGCAGTTGATAAACTTTACCTGCTAGGGCGCCTCCAAGAAGTACGCCAATACCATGGGTAACAAACAGCCAACCATAGGCGGACATGTGCCGATCACCAGTCACGTCACGCATCAGCACAAACATCAAAGGGTATATAACACCAAACGCGACTCCCGAGACAAAGGCTATGGCAGCTATGGCTATGTAGGACGTAACAACAAGAGGATCTAGCATGTTAGATGCAGCAAAGATCAGACATGAGATAGTGAACAGACTTGTGGCTTTGATGTGACCGCGATCAATCGGGAACCCGTGGCTTATGCGTCCTAGCAGGGATCCAGCGCCACCAAACGTCGCCAGGAATGCCGATGGGGAATCCCCAAAGCCCAGCTCCACTCCTTGGGGAATGAGATACAAATGCCACATCCCGAATAGGATTCCCTCCAGCGTAGATACCACGGAGATAATCACAAACAGCGGTTCCACAAGTATATGGGCATCAAAGCGCTCGCGCACGTATTTCACTATCTGTCCAAAGTTGAACTTCGCGGGATTACCTTCGTCGTCCTGATCTCGCCCATCAGCCAGACCACCGGACTTGGCTGATGCATTCTCAACAATAGATCGACTAGGTACCAGACTATATTGCGCTGGTAACGAAGATTTATTTCGAGGCCGGAGTAGAGCGCCACACACGACGTAGTTGAAGGTGAAAGCTCCCATCAGGCCTAAAGCGCGCCTCCATCCGTAAACCGACACAAGGTATTCCATTACTGGTGGGAGGACCATCATGCCTGTGGTCCCTCCGGCAAGGGAAGCGCCATTTGCAAAGGCGAAGTCGTCTGGAAAATATTCCATACATGGTTTTGTAGAGGATACAAAACAGAGAGCCTGGCCGACACCTGTAAGTCAGAACAAAGAAAAACAGCATTTTCGTCCAACTTCTTTCCATACTTTCAATGGGGGCGCTTTTCCAATCCAATCCATTATATTATAGATTAGTGTACAAATACCCCCGTAACCCAGTTAGCTCTGCCAATAGTTTGTGCACAGGCATATATAATTACCAGTTTAATTGTGTTGGGTGTCAGAGTAAAATTTATTTTAAAGAATTGTTCTATTTAAAAAAGCAAAAGCGAAAGCAACATGAGGATAGTCTGACAATTGTAGGTCAGGCAGCCTCACTGGCTAAAAACAAACATGACTGTTTCTCAGATGTGACAGAAGTTTTCAAAGCTCGGCTCCGTTTCCGAATTCGCTTCATCACTTATAGCTTTTAATATTTCGATCGAATTTTTAATAAATCGCTTGCTTCACATATCGTACAGGTATGATATACAGTTCGATATTTCTGAAACATTGACTAATGTTAACTTGGAATTTTCAAAAATATGCCACAAAATATTATTGTTAGAGACCACACCGAGTTTTGGAGAATCCCAGCAACGGTCGTCACATTCAAACTATTACATGGCGCAGGAAAGTTCGCCCCTCGTATACGATTAGAGTGTAAACTTCATGCATACTTGATGCACAAAATCGTAGTTGAATTTTATGTTTTATAAATGCAAGCAATGAATGTCAATTATCAACTCATTTCTTAAAGCTTTTAATAAGCAAGGCAGTTAATATAACGTTTATTATACTCGGAAATAAACGGGCGTTAACTAAGATTGTCGAAGAAATGAATATGGCAAACTTCGGAAATTTTCGGAATAAGGAGGCATTCCTCTCGTTTTAGTCACTTGACGTGTGTTTGTATTACAATGAATTACTAGCGGCTACCTGACCTAAGATTAATCAGGAATAGTAAGAAACTTTTGGTCTTGAAACCAGACTTACATGAGGAATGCCAAAGCTGACACATGCTAGCGCGGTTGCTGTGCAAAGGTCTGCTTATTATATAGTCCGTCTGATATCTTTTGCACATTGTTACATATTGCATTGCGCGCATAATGAATTGTACGTCTGTCTGGGAAAGCTTTTTGTTGCTCATACTTGCTAATACGAAGCATACGGCGATTTGGTTTGACGACACAGAGAACGAAGCAACACACATAGACACGGCAGCCACGAATCCTCCACTAATGGTTATTTGCCGAGGGGTAAATACCTTCAACAAAACACCGGCGAACGATCCTGAGGAAAAGACGTAAAAAAGGAAAAACACCGAGGTTACAACAATGATTTGTCTGATATTAGTTTTGATTACAATGTAATGAGACGTCGTTTACGAGGCACCGTACAATTGGCACACAGCCCAGAAAAAAATGTATATAAACGCCTGCACTCAGTGCGTGAACGCGCGAATATCAGCCCTTTTCTGCCTGCACACCAAAGTGTAAGTAGCGTGTGCATTCAAATGAGCACAATTTTATTTTCTTTACATTCTAATGTCACAATGCAAGTTCTCTGCTACCGCTGGGCTAGGTGTTAGTTTATTTTATGTTGCCGAAAGGAGTGATTTTGGGGTGAATTGTTTTTGTAATCTCAAGGTTTTAATCACCGTGTTCATCGTGTAAGTCACATGTTGATTTATTGCAATACGACCGTTTCAAGTCAGGTGCAATTTGGAGGCCTAGTTCACAACACAGCCGTACACTGGCAAGGCGTTCGAGGAACCCGGAAATCTTTGGAACCGAGCAACTTTAGAAATACAAACTTACTGATTATAATTTATCATTGGCAACTTTATTACAATTTATAGAGCTGGAAGTTGAATCGTATATGCTTTTTGTAACACTTGTTTAAATCCAGAACTATCACAATTGATTTTGTGAACAAGTAATCTGTAACAAGTTCATGAGACCAAGCATAATTTGACTCCTCTGCCCTCTTAGTGTTTTGATTTGTCTGTTTGCCTTGATTGTTCTTGGCGCCCTTAAATGTAATCATGTTAGCGGACCTCCTTGATGGCGTACCGCTACAATAAAATATATATATATTTTGATGGTGGCAAGAATAAAAATCGGAAACAGGCGACCAACTCCCGCACAGATATTTGACTTACCAATTAAGATGTAACCAGCGCCGGGTAAGGAGGAACTGATCACTCCTACAGACACTGAGCTAGTCGAAAGGTAAAGTATAAAGTAAGGCAAGAATACCCCGAGTGCCTTGAAACCTCCCAGAGCGATGAAGCAAAAGACGAAGCGCGACGCTAGGACCATCCATCGCCAGGGGTGGGGTCGGCTTGAAGAGGTAGTCATGTCGGTTCAGCGTGTGTCGATGAACTGCGTTGATAAAGAAGAGAATGAATGTTTAGTGGCTAACAGTAGCAGCTTTATGAGTTGACATCGAGTTGCTGCCCGTATCTCAACCGGGTCAATTACACTGCTGCATTCGCACACTCAACCGTATGGTTGCAGAGTCAAAGCGTCTGCAGTTGATGAGCAAAGCTTATCCGATTACGTACTTAGACGCTATAACAGAGGAGTGAAATTCATGCACCACAGAGAAACATTTGACACGGACGTCGCTAGACTATTTTGAATGGGGGGGGGGGGGGGGGGCGCATCATGAAATTTGCCGACGGACCGTCACGCAAAATGAGTGAAATTGATCATTTCCGTCGAAAATGAATGGATGGGTAATGAAGTTGATTACTTTGATCGGATTTGAATTTTTCAGTGGGATAAACTCAACTTCAAAAGTGAATCGTCAAAACATGGCCCTATCATATTTGTGGACCAGCTAAAGGGGAATATTACACTACGGACGCATTTTTTTTGTAATAGCAGGCAACCATGTCAGATCAATCAGTAAAAAAATTGACAAGAAATGTAGGTGGATGCCGCCCTTGTGACCCAAATGTACCTTATTTGCATAAAGTGTTAATCCCTGCCGTGTAATATATTTATTCCCATATTCTGATATTCTGTATTTTTTTTTTTAATTTATATAGGTGATTCTACTTATGCACTGTTACTGAGATAATATTTTCTTCAGCATATAAGTGACTGAATAATTATGAGGACATTGTAAAGATCCAAATTGGCTCTTATTATACCTAAATAATGCGCGCATTTACCTTGTCTCCAGATGTCATCAAGACAAGTCTCAGCACTGATTAGCCTAAAATTCACCAAGTTGCTTACTGGCACGGTTACCCTATTAAAACCAGAGGGAAAATAATGTGAACCATTGTGATATTAGTGATATTAAGCTCAGCAAACAAAAACGGGGGAATTCAGCTGGCTGTCCGTAAACTGGGCTTAAATTAGGCTAAATGTCGCCTAAAGTGGGAGACTTGAATAAGTTCAGAACATCCCCTTTCCCCAAAAAAACAAAAAAAAACATGCTTGCAATAATTATGTCAATGTCAATTTTTGTTTCTTTCCATTATTTTTTGTTCCCATAATTTTGGGAATTTCCTTGAACTTTTTCAAGTTTCTAATGTTAGGAAACCCTTCACTAATTAGGCCAATTAACATACACCTAGTTTTCTATTTTTGTTTCTTTACTGGGCTAAATATCACAATGTTATCATTGTCCACATTATTTTCCATAAGGTTTTAATAGAGTACTGTGCCAGTAAGCAAATTGGTTATTTTTAAGCTCATCAATAGTGAGGTTTGTCAAGACTGGATTCAGGAATATTGACTCTACACATTTTTTTATGTTTTATATTGTCCTGGCCACGTGGTAAACACACCCGGGGCCATCTACCACCAGATCGTAGTATGGACCATAGTACATCCTTCAGAGGGGGTGTCAGTCTTGTGATCATACTGGAGGGGTTGAAAATTGGCGGGAAAACCCTGTGTGCTTGTGCACATTTACATAGGCTTGTGTAAAAATGCACTACATACATTGGGATTATTTCGATCACCCCTGTGACCAAAATGGAATGTCAAATGGGGTTATGTCTGTGGTTTTAACGGCTGTTTGGGGCCTGAGAGATACTCCAGACATGCCAGAGGTTAATCAGGGGTAAATGGGCTGGTTGTGAGGGTCGGGTGGCTCAAATTACATTTTGTAGAAACCACATTCCATACAGTCATTGAATAGTAAACATTAAAGGTGCTCGCTCATATCTGGAAACAAGGTAAATGCGCGCAACTTTTGGGTATAATAATAGCCATTTTGGATCGTTACTTATGTTACCTCATTATTATTCAGTCACTTATATGCTTTGGAAAATGTTATTGAAGTAAGGATGTGTAGGTAGAATCATAGCCTTGGTCAATGCTCTCATCGTTATTCGTCCCGTACGCGGTCAATGGTAAGGCATATATCCTCGGCCTCACGCGCTATGCACATGCATGTAAAAATACAGCGCGAACAGCGACCTCACGCGGCCACTATTTTTATATGCAAATCAGTTGGGGACGATCGAGAGCCTTGGTTCAATCGTCCATGTGAGGTTTTGGGGGTGGTGCTCATTATGTTAATAGCCTTAGCTGACCTTAAATGTCGTTTTCTTATTGGTCGATCGTTGTGTGGAAACTTGCATAGTGAAACGTGGCACCGCCGTACATAATCCATACACGTACACGTTGTTTGTCTCTGCACACGGCACCAATGCACAAAAACTGTGGTTCCTGCCACGTCCGCAAAAGGCGAATAGGTGCAAATAATTTGATGACGTCCGGATTTACCAAGGTGTGATTGGACACTCCACTTATTAGCCCCGCCTACACTTATCTGTATTCGCATACGAGGTCGTACGCTATAAATCCAGCGCAAAATAAAGAAAAACATAAGCTTTTGCCGACGATTGAACCAAGGCTCGAGATCGTCCCCAACTGATTTGCATAAAAAAATAGTGGCTGCATGAGGTCGCTGTTCGCGCTGTATTTTTACATGCATGTGCATAGCGCGTGAGGATATATGCCGACGATTGACCGCGTACGGGACGAATAACGACGAGAGCATTGACCAAGGCTAGTAGAATCACCGAAATATATATTTTTTTTTATAAAAAAAAATATGAGGGAAAACATATATTTCACGGCAGGTATTTGCCCTCTTTAGCTTGATCCATGATTTTGAGTCGTCACTAAGAATCAGCTCAAGTCGTAACTGCCGGTGAGCGAGCACGTGGCCTACGTGATTGTGTTTTCCACAGCTGTAGCTGTCAACCGCCGTATATGAAGCGACCTCGCGCTGACAAACTTGCCAAATGAGGGGGGGGGCACCCCAACCCCCCTCCCCCCCTCAAGCGACGCCCGTGCCTTTTCAACGTTGTGTTTCTCCAAAAATATGTTCATTGTGATTGAAATGTTTAATTATAACGGAAGAAGACATTTCAAACTTCATGTCAGTGAAATACTCGCCGTCACCAATGCCAAAACGTTAATACTGGTTACAGGTAAAGCTGACCCAACTCTATATATTTTTATCAATTTCTAGGAATTTGTCCAAGTTGTTATTTCACTAGTAGTTAAACACTTATCATAGTATATTCCGAATTTCAGCTTAATATGTTGCTGCAAACGCTAATGTTACACCTTGAACTATCTCCAAGGAAAATTTCGACAATGATTTCTGCCGATCCTACCCATGCAAAGCGCCGTAGGCACTACGGTTGACCGATTTCGGCCCGGCAACACAATAACGAATGGCATATTAGCATTTCCATTAGCGTCACTCGGCCGGGGGTGACTTGGTGTGGGTCTCGGTATCGACCAATGGAAGCCTGCAAAAAGGACGATATTTATCAATTACTTACAAACTAGAGAAATTAATTTTCAAAGATTTCACCCGCCAACGTGAGCATGTCTGTGTACATGTAGTTTCATAACGTAACCTTTAGAAATCGCCCTTCGCAACCACACGACTGCACTTTCCTTGCCGATGTTCAATGGTGCTAAAGATCTCTCAAAAATGGCGCCCAAACTCTTTAATACGCAATCAATGTGAAGACATACGCTGGAGTTGCACATAATTAAAGCAGGGTTTTCCTGCTTTGAAATCCCCTTTCAACAAAAGTTTTAAAGCTTTATAACATTTGCAGCTATTCAAAAAGTAATTGACGACATTCTTGTTGAAAAGCTATTACTTGGTTTAAAGATGGTAATGGCACTCAACTCTCTATGAGCTGTCGTTTTGATAGAAACAATTCTTTTAAGAAGGGTAATCTCCAAAGCTTCGTCTGACGACACTTTTTTGGAAATTTCCGTTAATCCTGCGAAGCGGTTGATGCTATGATTTGTCAGTTCAGTGCGTGACATTGTGTAACTGTAATCGGCATTAGAACGTGTCCCGACGCTGATGTCCGGCGTAATTCAAAACATGACTCAGCAATTTTTGAATTGAAATTTAGATCCTATAAGAACCCTCTTATAAATGTTGAGCATTTTTGTTGTTTCAAACGTAAACCAATTCAGAAATGATATACTCTACCTTCAATGTTCTTCAGCTGTACCAGCTGCCGACCAGTAGTTGCTTAGTTGCACATGTTATAACAAGTCCAATTCGTTTCATACATATGTCGCATAATTTCAGAAAACTACAAAACAATAAATAATTCAGCGAATTATGGCATCCTTGGAATTCTGCATTGGGTGGAACGGCAATAGCACTACCATTCGTTAAAACAATTCCACGGGTGGTAATGATATCATCAGTGTACACTGCAATGGTGATATTATTATGTCAAGAGGCCTTTTTAGTATGCCTTTTTTATTATTATAATCCGTTTTATTGTTTTATTATCAAACCCACACGTGCGTGACGGATATCTCATTCCACATGTAAGCGATGAACTTTGGTTAATAGTGGCGTTCGTTTAAGGTAGCTCGTGTATAACGCGTGTAGTCTCATGGACGTTTGGTCCATGAGAGTGCAACTGGGAATCCGGGCAAAGTTGAAATTCCCATTTTGTCCGTCTAGGCAATGTGGGAATTCAAATACTGCCGGGCAAAATTAGGAATACATCCGAACTTACTCCATTGACAATATTATTGTGCACAATTTTCAACGTACTTGGATGATTGGCATGCAAATAATTACACAGATAGTGCCCATTCCAATTTTCTTCCAATTTCGATGTAATTGCTATAGTCAAGCTAAGTCCCTATTTAACCTCCAGCTTACCTTGCCTTGTCCCCTAGGCTGCCCGTTTAAAGTGGTCCATGTGTGTGTTTTTACAGTTTTACTGTATTTTTTAGAAACACTTTTATTTTTTAATCAATATATGGCCTTTTCATTTAATGTTTTAACCTGTATACGTTTATGTTTATATATTCAATTTTATGCATGCTGG